ATCTAAAGGCTCCACGGTCTGGTACTGGTCCTCTGCTAAGGATCCCAGATCTAGAGATCCATATTATGGGTCAACAATGATTATGGCAGTGACACCTACCTGAAGAAACCTTTACAACCCTCGCAGGTCATGGCATTAAAGTGAAAGCCGGTGGCCTTATCACCACACACACCGCAGATCCGTGGAGCATTGCGGTCGAACTCGTCCGATCCAACCACCGACGTTGTCACCGTCATGGGCTCCATCACTGAAGACAATGAAAAAGGAAGAATTAGAGCCTACGATACCCCAATATTCAAAACAAATGTGTTTAAAAAAATGAATCCAGTTCATCCGTTCTGTGTGTTAGCTGTGTTGAGAATATCCGAGAGTGTGACACGGTGTGCTTTTTTCTTTCTTTATATACAAAACAGGTTGGGTTATTAGCATATTTAGTAAAAGCCATTGACAGCCACACGCTGCCTCACAGCCAGCGGCTAAATGACTCAGCAGACACAGGTACAACCACACACACACGTACACACAATACAGGTACACAATTTTTTGGGGGGGTAATTTGCAATTGAGAAGAGGACTGATGAAGGCAATTTGCCAATGTATGATGGGTTTTTTTCAGCAAAAACCAAACACCTAAACCGTTTATTTTTTCAAACAGGAAATCATCAACTTCAACTGCCGAAAGCTTGTGGCGTCCATGCCTCTGTTTGCCAACGCAGACCCCAACTTTGTCACCTCTATGCTCACCAAGCTGAGATTTGAAGTGTTCCAGCCCGGAGATTACATCATCAGGGAGGGAACCATCGGCAAGAAAATGTACTTCATCCAACACGGGGTCGTCAGTGTGTTGACCAAAGGCAACAAGGAGACCAAGCTGTCAGATGGCTCCTACTTTGGAGGTAAAATAATTACGTTTGCACCAATAAAAAAAAAAAAAAAAAAAAAAAAAGTGAATATATATATATATATAATATAAAAAAAGATTTTGTGTTGACGTGCCCAGAAGCAGGACCCACATATTGTATAACGAGAGAGACCACGTAATTGATGTGGCGGAGCGATGGATGGCAGACGAACATAATGAAAGAGGCGTGGGATTGGGGGACAGACAGGTGAGAGCTTAAGTAAAAGGATGGAGACAAACATGGTCAGACTCCATTAGCTCTCATTAGATGTAGCTGGAGGTTTCAGCGTCGGTTCCCAGGAAAATTAAAAAAAGATATCGGACAAAGCACAGGGGTAAGGGGCTGTAAAGCATCATTACCCAGAACACACTGCACTGGCGGGGCAGGATGTGCAATAAAACATGTCAGGTTACAAGTGCATGTGTGCGTTTACAGGACAGATGTGCACACAAAAACAGGACTCACGCCATCATTAGTCAACATGTCACACAAGCAGCAGCTGCTGAATTATGAAATTGTTTGAAGAGATCAAAAACAGAGACACAGCAGCAGGGAACATGGTGTCAAACGTGTCCACAGAGCTGAAACCAGCAGAACAAAACAACTTGATCAACTGTTCAATTATGTAAGCCTTTCACCTGAGTCACAGCACTGTCATTTGCTTGACGCTCTTTCATTTATAACAGCTTTTCCTCCATCATTGCAAAGTTGGTTCTCATTTATTATACTGTAATTGGTATTTTCACTTATTCATAATCGGTGATTAATTAGCAGAAAAGAAGAAAGTTTTAACTCTCTTTCTAACTAACACACTATTACACTAATACAGTGGTTCCCAAACTGTTTCTGTAGAACATGACTATTGTGCTTCATGTCCAAACACCTTTGCCTTAACTGCTTTATTTATAACAATGTAATTTATACTATAATTATAATATTATTTTATTTTATTTTCTGTGTAACCCCACGCCGTGCCCCCAGAGGGATACTGTACCCCACTTTGGGAACCATCATAATAGACTAGAAAGACAGACTTCTTTCCCTTCCAATCGCTGTTAATGCTAACAGTCAGAGTTAACATAGCAAAACCTTTTTTTTTCTCTTCAAAATTACCCCAAAAACATTTCACAAAACAAGCTGGGTGCTTAAAGCTAAGCAGATTACATTTATACATGTGTACAGTTTTTTTATGCAATATAAAGTTAAAGAAAAATGAACAACGATATCTGACTAAAGAGCAAACGAAGAAGCAGTATTAGTGGATAGTGGACATTTTTTAAATAATTCCATCTCAATTAAGTTGAGTGCACCGTGAGATTGTCGAACACATTCAAGTGGAACACAGCTGAAAAACAGAATAAGCAAGAAAAACAGCCAACCACAGAATGGTCTAAAATACTGATCATACTTTAAGATATGATTTATTTAAAAATAATAATAGTGGAAAATCATGACTACTCGTAGTTTTTTAAAATTGGACTAAAATCATTTCTATGTTATTGGGCTACTCCACAGAAAACAAAGTGAATTTTCCTGTGATACAGCTTTGGTACTAGAAGACAGATTACTATGTGGATTGGGCTTTGCCCAGGAACACATCTCCAACGTGTCTGATTTCATTATTTTAACTGTTGTGCTTTACAATATTTTTCTGCCATTTTAAAACCTGTTTAGCTTTTTGTGTTTTACTCTAGCATTTGTGGCTGCATGTCTTCACCTCTGTGTAAGTCCATGAGGCACCAGAGGGCTGTGAAGATGGACTTCTGATGTCAACAGATGAAACATTCAGTGACAGCACTTTTCCTCAGACAGACATAAAAAAAAAAACCCAATGCCACACCCAAAGCATGGTCTCATGTGGCTTTCTATGAAGACCACATCACCATGGAGCATGTGGAACAGGCAGTCACTGTTTTGTATTTCATCAGTGAATCACTACAGGCCACAGTGTGTTTAATTTCCAACAAAGTTACCAAATCATTGAATTCAGCAAATGCATCAAGAGACAGAAATGGTCACTCAGAAAATAATAAGTCGTTTTATGGCCAGCTTATAATGGTAACATAAAGGTGTAATGTGATCTTACTATTTTTGGATTTTCCACAGATAATAACCAAACACACTGACATTGTCTGAACACCTTATAATGCAGGCATGGGCTTGATGTACATTCATCTCTGAAACCCATCTCAGATCTGGACGTTTTTGGACAGCAAATAGGAGGTCATCATACATTAAAAAAAACCATGAACGAGCAGAGAAAGATCAATGTTTTGCATAAGCACAAGCACAGTGGATGCATTTGTAGTACAACTTTCTTTATAAACTATTCTATATGGTGCATGTAAACATGGGGAAACCTTAAAATTTTCAAAAAATAAAAATGAATGAAAAACAGTTTGCTAGCGAGAAATGTCCAGTCTGTGAATATGTGTTTACAACTCCCCACTGAACATACAACAAAGGTGGACTTATTGATATACTGATTGATTTGTGTTGGACCCATCAAATATTATCATAATGATGGAGCATTTTGTCACTACAACACTGAGAGGAAGGCAGGTGATTAATGATGTTGTGGTAGCATTTGCCTGTTTTTCCAGAAACCACAGGCCGACTGAGCTGATTACTGTTGTAGAGCCTTGAAGCTGCCCAACAAACAGCAGGGCTTGTGTTTAATTGTGATGATGAAAAATCTGTTCTGATAAATGTGAATTAACTCATACCGAACAGTAGGATATGATTTTATTCATTTAAAATGTAAACATGTTAATCAAGCTAATACCCTGTGAGTAATCGCATTAAAAAAAAAGTACTCCTTTTCTCTGCCTGAATCAAAATATTAACTTCTGACACTTCTGAACTCTGAGGAATGTAGATCAAGAGTCACCTGGGAGGTAAAACATATAGTGTATAGTGCAGTTGACTTAGTGGCCTCGTTTTACTGGTGTCATATGACATGTTTACAGAGCCATCACGTGTGGTCTTAGTGGCTTGACCCCCGTGGCAAGGCAGCACAGAGGTTAAAGAGATTGTCTCTAAACTGTGAACCTTCAGGGTCACACCACCACACTAGCAAGCAATAGCACTGTTCCACCTGAGGCTTTCTAACCACTGGGTTGTTACCCTGTGACTAGGGTTGACTTCTGACCTTCTAGTGAACAAGGTATTAGAAAAGATTTCAACAACAAATAAAGGAAGACTTCTGTAAATGTGAATCAAAACTTTAGGCTGTTCTCTTTTCTGTGATGAATTGTTTTAATGTTTTTTCAGTCAATGTAATGCTGCACAAAAGTTGAAACTTTACATTATCCTTTTAAGTAAACTGGGCATTCCTTGATCGCTGCTGAATTTAAGCATTTTCCTTTGACTGTCAGACTGAATTAAATATTTTCCGCTAGTGTTTCCTTCAGAACGAGGGGAAAAAACACTTTGCTTCACTCTCGTCTTCCACATAGTTTCTCTTCAAAGTGCACAGTAATCCAGTACTGACCGGTCCCTCTATATAAGAGCTCAGTGTAGAAAGGTTCCATAGGAAATGGAATCCTTTACACTGCAGAAGTTCCCTCTATAGGCGACACAACAGGGAGCACAGCCTGCTTTACCACCAGCTGCGTTGAACAGTGGGCCTCACCAACAGCTCTGTGCCATAAACTCCAGTTTGGTACAATGCAGCGAAGTGGGATCAAAGCCAGATCTTAACAAAAGCACCATCACATTACAGACCATAAAAAGACACAAACTGATGCTGGCTATGTTTTCCAATTCAATACATCTGTCATCTTTATGTTTGTCGAGATTTGTACATTAGGAAAGAACAGGCAACCACTCAAATTCAGCTCGACCACCTTGATTTAAAAAATACTAATACTAAATCAACTAAAAGTAACAATGCATCTGAAAACATATAGGCTAAATATAAACATCACAGCAATCTTTGGGAACGTTTTGACTGTAAGGTTACGGAGAGATGGAAACACAAAGGTTCTACCGCCTTAAATCAGTAGGCTACGAAAACAAAATGTGATCTAGATTAAATAATAATTCTGCATGTTTAGTGTCTACAATAGTTAGATCCCCAAATAAAAGAAATATCAAGGGTTGAATTTGATCATACCTAAGACAGAGAGAAGAGGCCGCTGAAATTTTACCCGGCAGATGCCTGAGATTTAAACAAATGAGCTTAAGGCCATGAAATAAAAGCATGTGCTTGTGTTTCTGGGCCTCTGTGTGTGTGTGTGTGTGCAAGACACAAATGGAATGTCCCAATTGGCTGCAGAAGAATGCTGCACAGAGGGACTGGTCTGATTGGCTGGTATGTGGCGCACCCCTTCACACATTCAGT